ATTGCCCACAACTTAAACATGAAAAAAAAAAATAATAATAATAAAATAAAACAAATATCATTCCTAGAGACTGAAAAACGAATCTCTACTTGGAATATGTGTAAAATAAAATAATATGTACTGTATTCACAAGGTATTGAGCATATTAGGTGTCTACAACAAATACAAATGTATTTTCAACAAAGAACAAGAAACAACGTTAATTATCCAAACGATAATCTTACAGCTTTCTTTTGTCTCATTTTGAACATTGTAAATTTCCAACATAAATGAAAGTTGTTTAAAAAACGTGGTATGTGTAGACTTTTAGCAAATTTTAATTCTAATTTTCATTTTTTCTTTACTGCGCGTAGTACGTGTACATTATTAGTGCGAGTATCCGATTTTTCACCATTTTTGTCCATTCGCACATCATCAAGCTTTTCTTTCAATATATTTTTCTGGTCAACTATGATAATTTATCTAAGCTCACACAAAATTTGTATCAAATAAATTGCACGCAGTATACAATCGTCGTCATCATCATTATCATCTGATGTACACTATGTAGAATCAAGAGTACAGTTATACATATCGTACTTTAAACTTGGTATTTTTGTACGTTGTAAAATTGTATAAGCATTGTAAAAAATTTCAAAACAACTAAATACATGTACATACGCGTGCTTGCGTGCAACATAAATATACATATATGTTACCATATAGTCACACGTATACATTATTCTCACCACACATATTATAATTAGATTTACGTGCGTACATACATGTATTAAATTTATATATACACTTTATTGTGCGTATATAATGCGTATAATTTATAACTACATAATATGTATATGTATAAGTTTCGTAGAAAAATCTTTGACGAAACGAGTCAAAGTGAACACCAACGCCTGTACAATGTGATTTTCGTTTGTGTTGTATTATTATTACTACTACTATTATCATGATCATTTTAAGTATAATAATTGTTATTAATGTTATTGTTACTTGCTAATCACGATTATTAAATAATCCTTTTTTGTTTCTTCGCAAGACTTATTCACTTGAAAATTAACAGTAGTATATGATGTAATAGCAGCATGTGTTTTTGGTTCGACATAAAATTTTCCGATAACCATCACATCTCAATTGCTATAGGTATATTTATATTCCAAACGGTTAATTTCGTGCCTGTTTCCATGCGTATACCACTGCCTGGGAAAAATAAAAGAACAACTTTGCTTTACGATGTAAAAGGAGTCAAGTTGACTCTGTGATGAAAAAAAAAAGCGAGACCATTTATCTTTCCTGGCAAGGATACATATACGTATTATACGCATAGGTATGTACATGGATATAGGATACAGAGAAATAGGTAATATGGTAAAGAACACTTATTGCGAACTATAATGTATAATAATAACTCATCTACAGCGGCCCCGAACAACCGATCCGCTCGATTCTCTGCCTCCAACAAGTTTTTGTCGTTCGACTGATACGGGGCAAGCAAAAAAACTCTCTACCTAACAACCAGCGGAGCATTCGACAACGAGTCAAAAAGTAATTTTTTTGCCAGCCTGTGTATGTATATATTGAAATTAATCCTATATAAGGCACACTGTAGGTGTCCCCAGCTCACTGAACCTTTTTGGTGACTCCGTTCGTGTAGCCGTTGCTGTGGCCGTTCGCTTTCCCGTTGCCAACTTTTTTGCCGTTACTGCTGCTTTCCAAGGCCGTTGCCTTGAGCTTCTCCTTTTGCAACTGCCTCGCCGCGTAGGCCCGTTTACCCTGCGAAACCAACAATATACACATGTATTTTTGATGCAAAGATAACGATGACGAAGATAAGAAAAGAAAAAAAAAAAATAAACTGTAACCATGTCATACCTTGGCGATGTAGGCTTTGGCGTAAAAGTTGCCAAAGAGAACGATGAAGGAGACCATGTAGATGACAAGGGCGTACTGCATCCAGAGCGGAAAGTCGCAGCCGTTCTTGATGCCGTTGATGCCGAGGATCAGGGCAGTCGTGAATTGAATCAGCTGGAGGATGGTCAAGTATTTTTTCCACCAGAGGTACTTGGATACCGTCGGCCCGAGCGCCGATAGCCCGTAGTACGAGTACATCAGCACGTGGATGAAACTGTTGACCATGGCGGGCAGGAAGGCTGGCGAGAGATTACACGCGTGAGTTTAAGAAAAGGAAAAAAAAAAAAAAGAAAAAAGATAGGTAATGTAAACTTACTCGAACCGCTTGGCACCCATTTGATTCCGATCCACCAGAGCGAGAACATCGTCGAGTGATGGTAGACGTGCAGGAAACTCAGCTGGTTGTCCTTTTTGCGGAGGATGAAGAAAAAGGTGTCGCAAAACTCGAGGAGCTTGCTAAAGTAGTACCACCAGACGGCGTTAGCGATCTGTAAGGAGCAAATTGCGTTGAGTGAGTTATTTTTATTTTTTTATTTTTTTTTCAACTTTCTTTGACTGATTTATTAATTTTCTTGAAACTTTACCTGGAGCTCTTCGGGCCTCGATATGTGTCTTATCGGCTGGCACACGTAACTGTAGCGTAACTTCGTGGAGGCTACAAACAGCTACAACGGAGCGTTTGCTCATAAGTGACAATAGACAAAAAAAGAAAGGGAGAGAAAAAGGAGAAACTCGTGCATACTTCGATTGCAATGTAAGCGTTGAGGAGGGCCATAGCGAGGTTGTAGGGCACGAGGGCCCAGGTGAGCCTGAAGGCGCTCCGGCGCTTCATCACTTTTGGCCCCGACCACACGATGAAGAGATACAGCAGTGTATAGAGTACCGTGGGCTTGGGCGAATCGACGAGGAGCCATCCCTTGGTCCGCTCGTCTGCGAAAGACGGAAAATTATTTTCAAATTAACCGTACAAATATACGGCAGGTCAAATATGTACGCATATTTGCAATTGACTCCTCGGGAAAATGTGCGGCGCAAAGTCAGCCAAACTCGAGCCGAGGCGCGGTTGCGAAACAAATTCCTCGACTCGAGCCTCAAAAATAAAAACTGCCGATCGGGCACTTTTCAAGCTTCCACTTACAATTGCTGTATGTGTACTTGACTTTGCAAAAAATTAAAAAAAAAAGTCCTCACCCGACAGAGACAGCGTCCAGAGGTAATAGTCGTAGGCGTCGTTTATGAAGGTGGTCGTCGAATTGATGAGACCCGCCATTGCCTGTAAACAAACAACCAAAAATAGCACGTGAAAGCAGCGCGTGTTTTGTGACGATGCACCTAAAAACTATTCACGGCGATGTTTTTTGTTTTTTTGTTTTTTTCCACCAGGAAGTGCACATTACACGCTCATCGAGGCAGATGTGATTAAGAGCGCACACGCACGCTCGCCCATCAGCGGTTCCGAAAGAGAAATCTCACACTCTCACTCGGAAATGATCGCTCCCGAGCTTATAGCGCGCGCGAGAGCGCAACTAGAAAAAGTACTTATTATTATTAGTAGTAGTGCACAGATATAAGAAACTCGCACCACCGACCGTTTTCTTCGTTTATCAAAAACATGAAATTAAAAAGAAAAAAAACACGTCCTGAATCCCCGAAATCCCAAGCAACGCATTTGGTTATTAAAAAATGTTAATCGTGCGAACGAAATTCGTGCGCTTTCCTTTGGAATTCGTGTCACTGAACTCTTGCCACCTAATTAACACACATAAATTTATATCTCTCATCAATAAAACATTAAAGTTTTCAGTGATCACCGTTGAACGAGATGATCCCGTGATAATCATGCGTGCACAAGATGCATACCAATGATTTAACATGCGGATATAAGTATCCTTCACACGCGGAGAAGCCGAAATAATCGGTTCAATCGACAATTATAGAAAAGGACGCGGGAAAAAATCGTGCAAGTTGTAGGAATCGGTATTCGTATGAGTACAAATACCCCAAGAGCGGTGCGATCGTTGAACGCTCGCGTGCACTCGGCAGATTATAGACGGAGTTTCACTTGATATGCGGAAACGAAACGAGTGCCCAAGTCTCTATTTATATGTATGTATATACGTAAACCCACGCGTATAGGTATTATTCGCGGCGTTGGCGGGTGTATATATATATAGGAGCTATACTCCGCCTTTTTTCCGAGCCCCGCTAGCGGAGAAAGTGCAAATTGATGCTCGCCGCGGATAAACTCGTCGTCCCCTCACCCCCTCTTTCTACGTCTCTTCCGTAATTTGAGACGCGAGAGCTAGCTGATGCAGCATGTGCCGCTACCGCAGAGAGCAGTTACAGATATATTTGTACGTACGTATAACTACCGCGGGGGCCTTGGCCTCCAGACCGAGAGTGAGATCGATGCGGTGCGTATAGCTGATACGCACCATGGGCCTCTCCCCCCCCCTTTCCTTCGCCGCCCCATGACCGATACCGTACCCTCTCACTCCTTTCCCCTCTCTCCCCCCGACTATATATATACATCTGCTTACGGAACTCGTTTTACAGCGTCTCGGACAACGATCGCTCCACTTAACGGCTTCTCGTGCTCCGCGCTCCATACCGATCCGATCTGATGTATGCCGTTCGATTAATCACTCCCCACCCCTGCGACACTTTCACCCAAATTTCTAAAAATTACTGAATTTTAGCTCGTTAAAGTTACGAAACCGTAAGTGTATCCCCGTAACACGTAACGGGCGCGTTTGTCAGACACGAGATCGTTAAGTCGTAGAGACGATTTTTTTTTTTTTTTTTTTTTTAGAAAAAAACAAATCCATTAAGTACAACAGGTTTATAGGCACGTGTATAAATAAGTACAGACTGCTGCGATTGGCCGATGAGAGAATACATTAAGTACACGAGAGAGAAAGAGATTGCGCGGGTATCGAGATATAAGTATACATAGCGCACAAAGAACGGCACCGCAAACACAGCGCGGTTTTACCTACTTCCACCGGACCTTTCTTCCAAGGGCAAACTTTCGCCGCTGCAGCAGCTGCAGTTCGATGACAGCACCCGCTTCTCTTCCCGATGGTTAATGCATTCGTATACTTTCTACTCGATCTTGTCTCTGGGAAGAAGCTCTCTGCATCGAGTTGTACATACCGATATGCACCGATTTTCCGTAATTTCTCACGGAGCTCCATTATACCGCTCGTCAAACAATTTATTTTCAACAATCACTATTCAATTATGCCACGTTACACCGTAACAGCTAATGTTACCATAGAAACAATTTTTCAATCACGAGTAAACGTACGATACGTGCGAAATCGGTAATAGCGATAATCGTCGTAAAGAGAGGGAAAAAAAGCGTGCGCTCGTTTAATCGCCTCGGCGCGAAAAGCCACACAAGTTTTCCCCATTTGGGAAAAAAAGCATCACCCGAGACGTCTCGATGCAGAGTTAATCCTATCGGAGACTTGGGAGAAGGAAAAAAAAAAAAAAAAAAAAAAAAGGTTCAAGCTTCGAAACGATTTGCAGTTCCACTTTGGCTCAGAGGCAAGTCCGTGTCCCACTTTCGTCGCCTCGTTATACATTTGCAATTTTCGCGAGTTAGTTAGTCGAAACGAAAGAGCAAAAAGCTCGGTCGTTGTTTCGGCGACTCATCCCATCAATCACGCGGAGAAAGATCGTAACGAGTGCGATGAGGATGGGGGGGGGGGTGGAGGAAAGAAAGAGCGCGTGCCGGTCATTCGGGCCAGTGCGAAGTAAGTAAGTAAGGCGCGGGAGAATGACATTGCGGAGGATGTAGCCCCTTGGTTATAAACCCAATATTTCTCTTACCTCGAGTCGAGCGAGTTCCGGTCAGATGCAAATGTACTAGGATGTAACTGCGGTGCACAACAACAGGTATACAATAGAAAGTCCTTGGCAGGCGGGTTCGAGGGGCAATCACTTCGCGAGCGCGTTGAAATTCAACGGAATCGAGGGGATCGGCTCGCGAGATCGGAACAACGATCTCGTGGCTCGAAGGGAAAAAAAAAAAAAAAAAAAAAAAAAAAATCGACTCGCCGATTTTTTTGGTGGACCGTCCCCGAGCCAGCCAGCACAGCGACTACACACAACGTGGCACACGGCGCGTGGCTCTCTATCCAAGTGCCAGCGACTCAGGCCCGCTCGCTCCTCCTGGTATACTTTATAAGCTTGGTCCACGGTAGCCGGTGGTGGTGGTGATGGTAGCTACCTACGGCTTCGTTCCCGAAAGGCACCTATCATGCCCAGGGAGGAGGGGGACTTTGGAGGGGGGGGAGGAAACTTTCGGCTGTGCTGGTGATGGTTGTGTGTGAAGTGATGTGCACCTGTGCTCGAAAGGCTCGAGCGAGTCGATCACGTTGGCGGGTCCGACGACGATGGCCCAACGGGCAACCCCTTCTTTCTACCTCGCGAGAGTACATGTGTACAAGGGCACCAGCTGACGAAAGCTCGCCCATGCAGGCACTTGATACACGTTTTTCGTTGATTTCGATAAATTTTATCCTATTTTGATACTCTTCACACCCCCTTGGTCCATTTTTCTTTGGAGTACTTAAATTTACCTCATAGCATGTGCATATGTTACCTATAGCCTTGGTAGCGCAACAATAGTACCTATAAACATTATGCGCACAAAAACATGTGATAATAGTATTGGACGCAAATTTTACTTACATCGCTAACAATAACGCAAAGGCAGAAAATATGAAAATGCAGATGACATATTTAACTATGCGTATGGACGCTTGAGGTATACATGAGTCGTTAGACGCGCGCAGGTATGTGTGCTATAAATAATGCACTGCTACGGTGACATTTTTTATTTTTTTATTAATCCATCGGGCGACTTTGTTGCGACCTGGTTTACCAATGTGGTCGAAGCAGATTTTTCGTCCGCTTAATAAATGTACCTGGAATCACACTCAAAGTGTGCGAAGGAATTTGATGATCGCGCTCATTGCTGCATGTGTGCATGTATAATAAAAAAAAGAGTAGAACGGCACCTTGTATGCATATGTATGTATATCTTTGGTTTCGTGCACACGTGTGTATATATGTATTGTAACGCAATGATCGGGCTCCCCAGTATATATACATTATCGCTCCTTGCACGGATTCCGGACAAAAGTTGAAGCTTCAGCGATTTCACTCTCGCGACCTTAATATTTTCACCCAAAGGTTGCCGGGAGGAAATACATTTTTTTTTTTTTTTTTTTTTCTTCATTTTAATCATTTATTTTATTTTGTTTCTATCACCCGCAGGGTAACCCCGAAATGAAACCTGTTCCCGGTCGCTCCTCGCGTTCCCGATTCGCTCGTACACACCTTGTACACAAATATACGTATGTGGCTCATTAACTCCGTGTACGTAGGCATCTAACGCGTGTCATTTTTGATCCGCTCGGATCGATTAGCCGACAGGTCCCTCGTGGCAACTTATCATATACCTACAGTTTAAAGCCAAGAGTCTGAATATCCCCTGTCGAAACCGGTGATGAGTAATGCGCGCTCGTGACGGCTTTCCTTCTGCGTTGGGAGCGATCATCGGTACGCGTATATAGTCATGTAAGCCTCGGGCCAACTTTCGTGCCTTTGAACAAATAATAACCTCGGATCCTCTCGGATACGTCCGATGTTTTGTGCGTATACAGCAAACGACGAGGTGGACCCGATAGAGTATAACTTTTGAAAAAGTGGATCGTCTCTTAGCCGTAGGCTCATGAATTATCACTGGGATGATCTGTTTGCTCTTGCGGTCGCGTTCCGGTCCTCGAGACCTTATACTTAAAATGTATCGGGCTCGATGTTGAATATTTCTTGTCAATGAGATTTTTCTCAAAGAACTTCCGTTTAACCCACACAACTTTCTGGGCTCGATTGATTTCGGATGGAAATCGGATGAGCCGATCGGTTAGGTTTTACCTATACACACACAGTTATCGTGCACGGAAAAAAAGAAAAATCTTTGAATTTATGGTGGATCGAGGTGGATGCGCAAGACGATATACTTACTTACTAATGACTTTCCTCGTCTGTTCCGAGTAACGAGTTTTTTTGTTTTACCTTCCATCTCGTCCTTATCCGCCATCACCTATGGAGCAGTTACTCGATCTCGTTCAAACTCTTGCATCGCATTAGACATCGAGACCAAACTCTTTTTTTTTTCAATAAAAAAAAAAAATAAAAAAATAAATAAATAACCGGGTACTTGTTTTTCAACCGTAACACTTTCTTATCGATTCAGCG